ATAACAAATCATAATAGAATCTCTATTTGAATTTCATTTCATGTCATATGATCAGTCTAACAAGAGGAACACAAATATTTCGATGTTCCGATCTAATTGCACTGTGCAACACGACTCTACAGGACAGATTTTTTTACTGTAGTTGACATCTTATGGTATCCTGAGTTAAAGCAAAGATAACAAATCAAGAAGACTGGCAACTCTGCCAGAATCCAAGCGACAGATACAGTAGCGCTGCGCTCGAGTGCAGAGCAAATACACAAACCTTTCTTCTGAGGTTGTTATCTTTGCTATCAAATCGTTCGAAGCATTTACCTTTGAGCGGCAGATGACGCGATTGTGTCGGTCTCATAGCGGTCGTATGAGAAAATGGAAGAGTTGCCAGTCTTCTTGATATGTTGTCTTCGGTTAAAGCTTAGAATATACTTTTACCACGTTTTTTTAGGTACCGCTTTCTTTATAAGACTGTACAACTTTACATACGTATAGAAATGAGGTGTGAAACATCGCTTTTAAATGTTTGAGAGAGACAAATATTCCTTAAGTAATTTTCTACAAATGGCCCTTGCGCATCAATGTGCAATGACAGCAGACTGCTCAACTATCGAAACGAATCGCATTGAAAACTCCAACACACTTGAGTTCCGGCGATCTTATGCAAACCAGCAAACCACTTGTTGGTGGTAGTAAAGCAGTAACGGATGACAATGTCTTTACCGACGTCCTTACTGTCCCTGAACCAACCGAGCTGTTTTGGCTGTACCTTTCTCGTATTCATCCTAGCGTGAAATCGGAATCAATCGAAAAGCTGGTCAAAGGTTGTGTACAGTGCGGTGATCCGATTAAGGTTGTGCCGCTAGTTAAAAAAGCATCCGACATCAGCCGTATGAGTTTAATATCGTACAAAGTCGGATTGGCTCCCAAACTACGCGAAGTTGCTCTTACATCGGATACATGGCCGAAAGGAATTTTGTACTGTAAATTTGAAAACGGTTCAAAAACATGTGGATGCCTCGTTTCAACACGCCTCCCATCACGATCTCTCCTGTTCTTGGACCATCCGAGTTCTCAACTCCCATCTCCGGACTAGACCCAGTATGCTGATTCAGAATTGGAAGACACGTTGTGAATTGGAACGCTGTAAACTAGAACGCAATGCCTGTCGCATCATGGGAGATCTCGAACCACTCGATCTAGTCGCGCTAGCTGTTTCCCGCCATCAAAGCTGTTCTATTTCCTGCCATCAGCGTCGTTCTAACCGTGCGGGTTCGGTGGTGGGGTCTCCCAACCATCGTCTTCAGGCAGTAATTTTCCTGATCAGCTTCCATGTTCCATTGCAACGCCTCAAGCATCTACCGGCTGTTTCCAGTTGAGAAGCACTTCTGATACTGCTCATTCATAACATCCGCTTTATTGGTCGAACAATCCTAATTCATCTCCGGGACACAAAATAGACCACTCTTTGGAAGCTCCTGGATCCTCCAGCCCAGTCGTGCCGATTCCTGCCAACGCTCAGCATAGTCGTCCTGGACCTGAGGCGGGATATGAATTAAGAGACTTCCACCTTGCCTCTACAGGCAAGTACAATTAATATATTGACTATTCTCTGCCTAATGCTGATCAAAATTTCAGCAATTGTGGTTATGCCTCTGTAACTCCCAATCCTTCGTTCATAGTCGTTCAGGACCTGCTGTCGGATGTGTGTCGGAATACTCACTATGGCGAGTATTCAATCAGACTTGATGATGGTCAGTTATTGCCTGATGTATCTGTGATTTCCAGGGAGAGCAGTCGTTCGATTCCTTGCCGTAAGCAGGACGTCGTGATCTTCTACCATAACGCCGGTGGAATGAATTCTGGTGTTGAAGAGTACCGCCTAGATGTATCGGATTGTTGCTACGATGTAATTGTCCTGTGCGAAACGTGGCTCGATTAGCGAACGCTTTTCAGTCAAGCCTTCGGTCCTGACTACGAGATCTTTCGTTGCGATCGGAATCCTAACAACAACCGGAAATCTACTGGTGAAGGTGTCCTTGTAGCTGTCCGTGGCGGGTTGGAGGCAAAGGCCATCAAGTACGATTCATGGAACTATGTGGAGCAGGTTTGGATAGCCATCAATCTGGGTGATCGCACACTATTTCTATGAGCTCTGTACATTAAATCTGATCGAGTCCGGGACAATGAACTCATCGATACTCACTGTCGGTCAGTTTTCACAGTTATCAAAAATGCCACTCCAGTTGATGAGATCGTCATTTTGGGTGACTTCAATCTGCCAGGCGTTAGCGGATTCCTGTATCCAGATCTTGATAGCTCTACATTTCACGTAGGAGCTATTAGCCTTCTCGACGACTACAGCGCAGTAATGCTTTCTCCATATAACCATGTAGGGGAAACGGATCTAATGTTGGCCTATGGATCTAAGATTGGGCCCATCGCTAAAAATCTGCTATTTATCAATTTTATCTAGATGAACGCGTCATTGGGACGGTACTAATGGATATTTTTGGTCACCATTGAAAATTTATTCGATTGCTGAATTTATGTATGGGTCATGTCCCGAAAAGAACTCACCACAAAGTGTATCACCCTCTCTGGCAGACGAGAGAGCTACGTAGGTTGAAGTCAATCAAGAGAACAGCATTGAGAAGGTTTACGAAGTATCGCACGCTTCCTCTGAAACTACATTATGTGAGGCTAAATCACATGCACCAGCGAGTCAGTCGTGAATGCTTTTCAAGTTTCCAATGAGGCATCCAGCGCAAACTTAAGCTAAACCCGAAATCCTTTTGGAACTACGTGAACGAGCAACGCAAGGAATCCGGCCTCCCATCGTCTATGAAATTCAACGGAGAAGTTGCTACCACCGTTCAGGATATATACCGCCTTTTTCCGACAAGTTTGACAGCGTAATGAGATACTAACTGACGACCATATTAATGCTGAGATGATTTCCAAGGCCGCGACTCTGCTCAAGTTATCCTTCAATCCTAGACCTGATGGAGTTCCATCTGTATTTTATAAGAGACATATTGCTAGCCTGTTAATTCCGCTTCATCACCTGTTCCCAGGCATGGAAAATAATACTGTTACTGTTTTTCCACTACTGTTTTTCCGTGAATGTATTTTACATTCACTGAAAAACAGTAACAAGTTCTGCCCGCTCTAGTTCGTGACGCATAAGAGATACAGATTTGAGTTATGAGCAAAAGTTGTAGCTAATAACAAAACCTACAAAAGCTCTATACATCATTTTGCGAAATGCTGTTGATGAAAAAAGTTAGAGGAAATGAATGTAAATGAATGAATGAAATGAATGTAAATGAATGAATGAAATGAATGTAAATGATTTTCCATGCCTGCCTGTTCCACATGTCTCTCTCCAGTGGCATATTTCCATCCTGCTGGAAATTTGCGTACATGTTTCCCGTCCACAAAAAGGAAGGAAACGAGCTGTGGATAACTATCGAGGAATAACATAGCCAAGTGCCGTTTCGAAGCTATTCAAGCTAGTGATTATGGAACCGTTGCTGTCCCATTGCAAGCAGTATTTGTCCCATTGCAAGCAGTATTTGAGCATGGGTTTACTGTCGGCCACTCTACAACCACCAATCTGCTGTGTCTCACTTCGTATATAACCGAAAGCATGTCGGATCGGGTTCAAACGGACGTTATTTATTCAAACCTATCCGAAGCATTCAAAAAGTTGAATCATGCTATTACGATTGCTAAACTCGACAGTATGCGGTAATCTTCTGAGTTGGTTTCGATCATATCTTACCGGTCGCCAATTAATGGTTGCCATAGGAGATTGCAGATCAGCTAGCTTCTTCGCCACATCAGGTATACCTCAGGGAAGCCACCGTGGGACCGTTGATTTTTATACTGTACTTCAACGACGTGCATCTGGTCATCGAAGCTCCTTGGTTATCATATGCAGATGACCTCAAAATCTTCCTACGAATCCGCTCCATTGCTGACTGTCACTTTCTTCAACGTCAGCTGAATGTATTCGCTAGTTGGTGCAGTTTAAACAGAATGGTAGTGAACCCAGCCAAATGCTCCGCTATTACGTTCTCACGAAAACAACCGATAATATATAGCTAGGACCTGCTTGGCTTGACAATCGAACGCGTGAATCAGCTGAAAGACTTTAGTGTGATCATGGATTCACAGCTATCATTCAAGCAACACATTGCATATGTTGTCGATAAGGCGTCAAGAACTTTAGGGTTCATTTTTAGGATAGCTAAATACTTCACCGATATCTAATGTTTAAAAAATTTCTATATTGTTCGCTTGTTCGATCGACGCTTGAGTATTGTTCAGCGGTTTGGAACCCAAACTACAACAACGGTGCCGGGAGAATTGAATCTGTTCAACGTCGCTTTCTTCATTATGCGTTGCGTAGATTGCCTTGGAATGATACGTTTCAATTACCCTGTTACGAAAGTCGTTGTCAATTTATAGACCTAGAATTTCTCCGCACTAGAAGAAACACAAGCAGACACAGAACTGTGGCCGATATCCTGCAAGGAAGGGCAGATTGCGAGGCTATTCTGAGGCAAATTGACCTGAATGTTAAACCCGACCGCTTCGTAACAACCTTATCCTAAGACTTCCTTTACGTCGCACAAATTATGGATTTGCGGACTGCCAAATCTATTGTCTAACTGTCAGATCTTCCGCACCGAACCACAATGTGCGGGAACCTTTAGAATTAGATCATTATACAAACTTATCTCACGGTAGGTCCGAATTATAATATTATCGAAAATGAATGTAAATCAAATTAGTCTTTGTTAAAGTAAAGCTATTAACTTCCTCAATATTCTATTGATGGTGAATTTATGAATGTTTTTTACACTTTGTTTATAAAATTATGATAAAATCGGAAAATTCTAATTTCTCCCGATAAAATATTTTCCGAAATGTATTATAGTAATTTTGTCCATTACCATCGTCTATGCTATAAAAATAAATTAAATAAATAAAATTACCGGATTGTAGAAGGTAATACCCAATTCATTCAATTTGGGTATAGCTACGTCAGCCCGCCAAGTAGTTGGATTACATGAACCTCCCAAGAATACCTCTGGACCAACCATAGTTTCATTACTTGGAACTGATGGCTCATCGTGTCTAGCATTCGTTTTCTTTCCAGAGGAAGATGAGTCAGTTTGACAATACCCACTCTGAGAAGTGTCATTGCTATTAAGTATAGTTGTATGCCTGGAAATAAACGAGAAATATTAATATTTTTAATAGCACATTTCAATGAAATTATTATCATATACAGTACATACCTTAATTTACGTATGTCAGATAACAACACTGAGAATTCGCCAAATGTCAAGCCGTTCTTATGTTTAGATAATTTACTACCATTGCTGAAACCTCGCACAATTTGCTTGGCAGTTTGTAACATGTCATGTACTAAAAAAAAATCTCTTATTAATCGTAATCTATATAGTTCGTTGTTATTTTAATATAAACGATATAATGGGACCAACTACCGTAAACTGGGGGTAAATTGGTCGCCGGGGTGAAATTGATTAAATAAACTGCTAAAAGAATTATTCGAATGCTCTTTTTAGAAAAAAAAAATGTTCAATGAGTAGCGACCATCGATTTTACTCATGTTCTGTACGTTAAACATAGTGTCGGACATAGTGCGCTGTACGTTTAACGTACAGAACGAGAGTAAAATCGAATGTCGCGTGTGGGGTTTTCCGGCGTCCAACTGGACCGACAATAAGTATATTTTAAAAATATTGAATTGTCGATATATCTATTAGTGTTATATTGATAGTTATATATTATTATGTTAATCGTCACCTTGTCACTAGAAACTACATTTTTTTTAAATCAGCAAGAATTCAGTTTTCCAAGTTTTTTTATTCTTTTTTCTGTAGTTGACGTTGGGGATTATTGATCCCAAATGCTATTTCCATGATGATGCGTTGTACATTTTATGTATTCAACCATGAGTAATGGTGAGTTGACAATCAGGAAGGAGCGGAATACCTAGCTCTGGTCCTCACAAGTTCCTACCTCACGCCTACCCGAGTCATATGATAACAAAAGACTACCAGCTGATACGTGAATACAGCTGAGTGGCGTAGCCTGGACAATGTTGCCAGTCCGGCAATAACAAAGTAAAGAGGTGCGACGCGAACACTGGCGGTGTACGGTGATAGAGGAAATGGTTCACCAAACCCGAGGGTCTGTTCACCATGGAGGTGCGGCTCAAAACGGCGTCTGTTCTCCATGTTAGGCCAGTGTAGGACTCTAAATAGAGCTGTGCACGATGGCCCCCCCAGCGAGACAGCCGCCCCAGCGAGACAAGCCGCCCTGAAAAAAAAACATAAAGTTGCAAATACCGAAGAAAGAAATACGGATCGGGACAATCGGCAGAGACCTAAGCGACGAAATAATGATTACGATTGGAAATTCGGAACATGGAACTACAAATCGCTCGGCTTCCCGGGCTGCGATAGGTTAATCTATGACGAACTTCAACCACGCAACTTCGAAGTCGTAGCACTGCAGGAACTTTGCTGGACGCGACAAAAGGTAAGAAAAGCGGGCATCGAGCGGGTACTTTCTACCAGAGCTGCAAGGTGCAAGGTGCAAGTTGAGGATTAAGGGCCGTTTCTTCAACTACAGCATCATCAACGTGCACTGCCCTCATGAAGGGAGACCCGACGATGAAAAAGAAGTGTTCTATGCGCAGCTGGAGCATGTGTACGACGGCTGTTCGCAACGGGACGTCAAAATCGTCATCGGCGACATGAACGCACAGGTAGGACGAGAGGCAATGTATAGACCGGCAATCGGGCCAAACAGCCTGCATGCCGTATCGAACGACAACGGCCAACGATACTTTGCAGCCTCTCGGGGTATGGTAGTCTGAAGTACCTTTTTCCCCCGCAAGGATATCCACAAAGTCACCTGGAGATCACCTGACCAACACACAGAAAACCAGATCGATCACGTTCTAATCGACGGGAAATTCTTCTCCGACATTATCAACGTCCGCACGTACCGCAGTGCGAACATAGATTCGGACCACTACCTAGTTGCAGTATGCATGCGCTGAAAACTCTCGACGGTGCATAACACCCGTCGAATTCGAACGCCGCGACCCAACATTCAGCAATTACGGGTCACCGGAGTTGCTCAGCATTACGCGCAGCAGTTGGCAGTTGCACTACCCACGGAAGAGCAGCTTGGCGCAGCTACTCTTGAAGGTGACTGGAGGGACATGCGTTCTGCCATAGGTAGTACTGCTGCAGCGGCACTAGGTACTGCGATCCCGGACCGAAGAAATGACTGGTTTGACGGCGAATGAAAAATGTTAGTAGAGGAGAAGAATGCAACACGGGCGAGAATGCTGCAACATCACACGAGATTGAATGTGGAGCGATACAGACAAGCGCGGAACCGACAAAGCTCGGTTTTTCGAAGAAAGAAGCGCAGCAGGAAGACCGAGATCGCGAAATAATGGAAAATCTGTACCGCGTAAACGACACACAGAAGTTCTACGAGAAGTTAAATAGTTCGCGCAAAGGCCACGTGCCGCAAGCCGATATGTGTGAGGTGATTGAGAGGTCGAAGCAGTACTATGACGAGCACCTCAACCACAAACGAAGTGGCAGAAGGAGCGGCTCGAAAACTTTGGTGACTAACCTACTATTTCAATTTTTCAGTGTACCACATGGCAACACCACTACTACTGGATTGTACCACATGGCAACACTACTACTGGATTGTACTAGCAATTTCACCAAATGTATTACACTGGAGTCGCTTTTTACGCGGTTTTTTTTTACACGGTTTTTTTTACGCGGATTTCGGAATTTACGCGGTTTTTTTTTACGCGGATTCCGGAATTTACGCGGTTTTTTTTTACGCGGATTTTGGTTTTTTTTTACGCGGATTTCAGAATTTACGCGGTATATCGCTTTTTACGCGGTTTTTTCTTACACGGTTTTTTTTTACTCGGTTTTTTTTACGCGGATTTCGGAATTTACGCGGTTTTTTTTTACGCGGATTCCGGAATTTACGCGGTTTTTTTTTACGCGGGACGTATCACCCGCGTAAAAAGCGACTCCAGTGTATAATGTTTTGGTTCTATCTCTTTCACTCTACTCAAAACTGAAATGCATAAAAAAAATGACAAAATGATACACTCTTTGCACACTGTCAAAGAATCATTATACACAAAATCAAGTTTGTTCAAATCAAAACAAAAAAACTAACCCATCTGGTAGATGATGGCACAAGCTTCCAAGAAAATTCCATGACAGTGAACCACATTATTTTAATGGATTTCTTCGCCAGTTAGTCGTCTGTCACTTCGTTTGTGCCTCAACGGTGATGCAGCAGAAAACGAAGGTGGCACGGCAACAGACCTTGGAGAAAGCGCAGAAGACGACAGGCTACCGGCCCCTGATCTTCAAGAAGTTAAGGAGGAGATCGGTCGGCGAAGAACAACAGAGCAACTGGTGTAGATCAACTACCAAGTGAATTATTAAAATACGGTGGTGAAGCACTGGCTAGAGCGCTGCACTGGGTAAATGCCAAGATTTGGGAGGAGGAGATATTACCGGAGGAGTGGATTTATTTATTTATTTCGTCAACCAACGTAGACTAATTCATATTCAAATACAGTTTTGATTTTTTTTTTTTCCTTCGGTTTGTTTTTTTCCGTCGATCTTGTTTTCTGTGCTGAGCACCAATGCTACCGACGTGCCAGGAAGGCAGCTCCCACACCTGGACCCTACCTATCGACCCATCAACTCATGAACCGGGGACCCAGCTTTACTTCCCATCCGAAGGAAGGCGTGATCAGAGATGTTATGCCTCAGAACATCCCGGCGGCGCCGACTGGGATTGAACCCAGGCCTGCTGGGGTGAGAGGTAATCACGCTTACCACTACACCACCGGCGCCGTTAGTTTTGATTTCTTAAATTTATTTATTTATTTATTTCGTCAACTTTGGAAACGAGGTTAAAAGTATAATTTTGTCTTTAATAAAAATTAAGCAGTGTCAGCTTTCCTATTTTTTATTTCATTTTCATTTTCATTTTGCAGCGCAGGGTGGGGCAGTAAGAGCGCAAGTCAATCCAAGACCGATAGTAAAGGAGGGGTAATGGCTGACTCGCCACATGCAGGCTACATGTTCGCCATGGGAAGGGATAATGATTAGATTGAGGTAGGTGGTTGGATGTTTTTTGAATTGAGATGGCCATGATGCTACAAAATGACACGGAATGTGTAAGCTGTACCTCTATGGTACTGCTCTGCTTTGAATCAGAACACTGGATTCCGTATGTATTGTTTCAAGATAGTTATGGAAAAAATGCTGCGACGTGAGCGTGTGGATACATCCGCGTAGTAAACCAATTGAATAAGTAAATCCGTTTCGAACGAAATATCTAAATTATTTAAGTTACGAAAACCACGCGAATTCCGAGAGCCGTGCGAGACAAACGAAGTGAGAAAAAAAATGCTTATTATCATTTAAAGAGTGCCACAAAAATAAATGTGATAGTCTATGTTGGCAAGTTGATTAATTTTGGTTTTCTCCCTAGATATTCAACTTACTTTACTATTGAGCTTTGTTCCAAATTAGTTATTTTACCGCACGTATCAATCATTTCAAAATTTCGCGACCGTACCGAACAAATTCTAAACTACATAAGCTAAAAAAAAAACTTTTGGTAAGCTCTGCCGAATTGCGAATTACTTCTGCGTAAGCTCCGTAGACGTAGGCGCGTGGATTCCGACAGCCGCGAGAAGTTAAACATGCATCAATACAACATAAGGAAAGATCTGCTTTTCAGTCACGTAGGATTTAGTTCATAGATTAACATTTACTGTTGTTTACAAATGTAAGTACTTGAACACTAAGAAATAAATACTTTAACCGTATTTATCAGAGATTTCGCGTATTGAGAGAATAATATAGTAATCGAGTACAATGAACTCAGGGGAAAACAATACCTACAAAAGATTAAAAGTTATTAATTGTCACATACCTCTACTTTTACTTATTTCCTAAACTATTCCTCTCCTTGTTAATGCTGCTTGTTATTGGTCTGCTTGCGTTCTCTTATTGAAGTTCAAGACCAAATAGGAAAATTTATTATATAACTTTAAAAGTTAATTGCCTCCCTAAGCGGACCCCCCGCATCCTAATTCTTTTGTTAATCTACCTAATGTTATTAGACTTTCTGAATTTTCTTATTTAAGTTCGTTTGATGAATATGATATCTCATTAGTCTAATTTAATAAATTATAGAAATCTCTAATTCACCTAATCAATCATTTGTGCTTGTAATCTAAAGTTAAACGTGTTTCAAGTACTTTTGATTTTGACCTATACCTATTTCTAGATAGAGATGAAATTAGGGCGTAACAGCTTTTG